TGGAGAGACCGGGTTCCCGTGGGATAGGCATCGGGCGTAACTCGCCGTAGGGATTGCGGTTGCGGGGCTTGCTGCATCGGCAAACTTCGCAAGAGTTGCAATATCGGGTGACATCGATAATGAGGTTGGGCCATCGGAATCGCTGTCGAAGCCGTGCAATAGTGCGGTTGACTCCGAAATGGTCGGCGAGTCGTGAATCATGATACTCGCCGAGGAGGCGAGTCCGAAGACGACGGTCGCGTGGGACACATAGTAAGTCCTTGCCTCGTGAGTGGAGGAGCAAGTACCCGTCGGCAATGCGGTAATGGCTGGTCGGCGGGTGATCCGAAGATAGTTGTGCATAGAGCGTGCCGAAGTCAGGATCAGACTCATATGCCCGGATGAAGTGTCGCTGAAGCTCCTCGTCGAATGCGAAGGCATGATGTGTCATAGCGCAAAGATCTAGTCTTCGCGAGAGTGCATCTGCTGCGCGATTTGAGAGGCCGGGTAGATGTTTCGGTGTGAAGTCAAACTGGTCGATGAAGTACATCCATCGTCCGATCGTGCTGCTCACCGTATCTTGCGTCTTGTAGTAGGTCAATGGATTGTTGTCCGCAACCCATGTGAACCTACGACGCCCAAGGAGGACGTGCCGCCATCGCTTGAGAGCCATGACGAACGCGAGTAGCTCCTTCTTCCGTGCATCATCAAGTGAGTTGATGGGAGGCACTTTGTGGCTGAAATACTCCACAGGGTGCCAGTCGTCGTCGTCGTGTTGTTCCAAGACTGCCCCAATGCCATAGCCGGAAGCGTCCGTAGTCACTCTCGTCGGCAAGGTGGGGTCATAGATGCTGAGGACGGGTGCCATGAGCATGGCCGTCTTAAGTGCTTGGAATGACCGGCGTGCGTCGTAATCGAATACGAATGGCACCTTTGGCGACTGTAACCTCATCATAGGTGCAGCAATCTTGGAGTATCCGGTGATGAATCGCTAATAGTAGCCCGCCAATCCCATGAATGAACGAACGTCCGCAGTGTTGGTGGGCTCGGGCCATACTCGTAGGGCCTCGATCTTGTCCGCGAGCGGACGGATGCCTTGCGGCGTCACATAATGGCCCAAGTACTCCAGCTCCTGCCGCGCGAATTCACACTTGTTGCGGTTGGCTTTGTACTTGGTCTGTCGTAGCCGCTCCAAAACGGTGCGCAGGTGTTCCACATGCTCCTCCAAACTCCGGCTAGCCGCTTGGAAAGTGGTCGGGGCATTCGTAAGGCCAAATGGCATAACCAGCCATTCGAAATGCCCATACCGTGTCTTGAATGCGGTCTTGTAACGGTCCTCCTTGCGAATCTCGAGTTGGTGGTACCCTGACTTGAGATCCAACTTCTAGAAAAACTGGGCGCCGCCCAATCGCTCGAGAAGATCATCGATGCATGGGAGAGGGYCGGCGTTCCTGATCGTCTGCGCGTTGAGCTTGCGATAATCGATGCACAACCRCAGGTCCTTGTTCTTCTTCCGGACGAAGAGAACAGGAGCACCGTATGGCGATGAGCTAGGCCGAATCCAGCCTTTCTCCAAAAGGTCGTCGAGTTGTGCGCGGAGCACACTTAACTCTTCCTCGCTCATTCGGTATATGCAACCGCGCGGAGGTACGGCCCCGTCCTCGAGGATGATCTCGTGGCGGATGGGTCGATCCGGTACTACTTCGTGCGGGCCTTCGAACACGTCGCTATAGGCGTCGAGAAGCTCGGTGATGCGTGGATCCGAAGGTGAGTCCGTTGATGAAGCGTCATGGGGCAGGAGGGCGTGGAGAAAACACACCCCCATCTCCTCGATGTCGTCTCTGATGATGGAAGCTCGCATGCTTGCGGCGGATACCACGTGGCATCTGATCGAAGGATGAGGAAGGGGCACCGTGCATGGAACTAATACTCCGTTCCGATCACGAATGTGAACGGTGCGTTTGAAGAAGTTCACCGGGTGATCCTCGCTTCGCAGCCATGACATGCCCAAGATCGTGTCAAATTTGGTGTCCAGAATGTCAAAGGACACCGCCTCACTTGCGTGAGGGGCAAAGTACACTGGGACGGCGTCAATGCACCGGTTGATGGACTTGTGCGTATGACCGTCTGCCAGAGTGACTTGCGTAGGTTGGGACTTCCTCCGGACACGTGGGCCAAGGCCGGCGCGTACCATGAAGTCCTGGCTGATGTAGTTGCGAGATGCTCCGCAATCGATCAAGGCACTACAGGTCGCCTCTCCGATCTGAATGCGTATGTATAGCAATGGTGCGTCGATGTCGTCGTACCGTTGCGTCTTGAACTCGCGATCGATCTTCGCGATGTATGCGAGAAGGTCGACAACCTCTGCTCCGGCGTCCATCAACGGAGCTGGTACTGCAGTGTGCAAGTAGTCCCGCAATTGTGCCATGAGCACATTGCAATGCGGTTTCGGCAATCGTCCGATCGAGGGAACGGGCATCCACTAGAAGTCCGTGAAAGTCAACGGGTCGAGCTCATCAAGTCTTCACCATGACGTCGAATCCTCGACGATAGATTGCGGCGAAGCTGCCGAATCGGTTGYCGATGGTGATGAAACCGTGCATGCGGTGGACTGTTGCACGTGGAGCGGTTGGTCCAGCGGTGGAACCAAGTGGACAGCATAATCCTCGTAAGTATACAGAGGACTTGCGACATTCGCATCCTCCCCAGATGTGCAGGAGGCCGCTAGCAAGGCGGCCGAATCTGGCGGAGTAGAAGGTGGAGTCGCCTCACCTTCCRCGGAGCTCAGTTTCCCGAGCTGAGGCGGGGTCGCACATCCTCCTTGCCCTGATCTTGGCACAGGGAGGTCTTGTGCTTGGTGYTGTTGCACCAATAGCAGCTGCCGTAGCGGCCGCGGACCTTGTACTCCGCCTCGGTCAAGCCAAACTTGACCCATGGAAACTGTCCTGGCTGTCCATTTCCGGCCTGCAATGCGGATTTCGCCTTCCCATTGTTGCGGGACTTGTTGGTGCTTCGCGGCTGGACAGCAGCCACCTGATCACCGTCACTTGATGCTGGAGTGGCTGCTGGGTTATCTCCACTGTCCTGCTGGACTGCAGCGAAGTGTTGTTGTCGCGGACCAATTTGTACCTTCTCCACATAGGTCGGTTGCCATGATGTTGAATTCTCGTGTGCAGCTGACCTGTTGGTCTTGATGATCTCCCTCCCTTTGTCAATGATCTCCGCGAAGGTTGAGTACTGCTCGCGATCACCAAGAGCCTGGCTCAATGCAGCACAGGACCTGTTGTAGAACTCACAGCGTAGATGCTCGAATGGTAAGTTCAGATTGGGCACAACCGCAATCTTCTGCCACTCCGTGAGCCAGTCCCGTGTTGCTGTGTTGCCCTGTGACATGGTGAATAGTCGGTTGATGGCGAGTGCTGGCGCGTCGTCGACGATGAACTGCTTCTTCCACAGCCGTGTCAGTTCTTCCCATGTGATATTGTCCTTGAGGTCCGGTACGTCGACGCCGTGGGAGGTTGCCAGGTGGGTCAACCAGGTCTGGCATCCGCCCTTTGAGTTCAGGAACAGGGCGCCGATGTACTTGTGCTTAGCGACAGGCAGAATCCTAAGTTGCGTCGTGAATGCCTCCCACCAGAGGGTCGGATCCTACTGCGTGTAGTTGTCGAACTTTTCCAGTTGGAAAGTTGGCATCTTCTGATTGCCATCTGTGTTCGTCGACTGCAACTGTTGGACCTCGGTCTTCAAGGTATGCAGCTGAGTGCTGATGGTGGACGGCGCAGCGAAGGTGCTAATGTCGCCGAGCATTGCCAGGATGTGGTCAACGCGTTCCTCCAGTTGGCTGCTAGAGGGTGCACTGCTGGAAGCCCCAGCAGTTGGTCCTGGTACAGCCTGTTCCAAGTTCAGCAATCGGGCATTGAGTGCCCGAGTTGCATCATCGTGGCTCTGCACTGTGCGGCGGAGCGTCGCCAACTCCTGATGTTGTTGCGTCAGGTCCTGGTACTGTCTCTCCAACTCTGACCGTTGGTAGTTGCAAGCATACAGCAACCGTGTCACGAGTTTGGAGAGGAACTCCTTATGCTGCTCTTCCGGTGTTGCCTCGTCGCCGTTCGGTTCAAAAAGCCAGAACTTGAGTCTGTCGATGCTTGTGGCTTCATGCCGCTGTAGCAGATCCTGGGCTTCCTTGCGGCGAGCCTGGGCATCTGCGTCTGCATCGGCCTGTAGCCGCAGCTTCTCTGCTGCTGCTGCCTCTTCAGCCTGTACGCGGGCAGCCTCGACTGCCAGCAGGCGTTGTTCCTCAGCCTCTATCTGAGCCAGGCAATGCTGCTTGTAGGCGGCAATGGTCTCATTGGCCAGTTGGCCTGGCAGGCCCGTCATGTTGCTGACGTGGCACTGTTGCTTACGTGGCACTGCTGATGTGGCACTGCTGACGTGGCACTGTGTCTGACGTGGTACTGCCGATGTGGCACTGCTGACGTGGCACTGTGTCGGACGTCACTGCTGACGTGGCACTGTGTCTGACGTGGCACTGCTGTCGTGGCACTATGTCTGACGTGGCAATGTGACCTGGCACTGCTGACGTGGCACTGCTGATCTGGCACTGTGACGTGGCACTGCTGATGTGGCACTGTGACTTGGCACTGCTGATCTGGCACTGTGACGTGGCACTGCTGACGTGGCACTGTACTGGAACGGGATGCATGCAAGGGGTGGGTGGGAGGGAAAACGGAGGGAGGTAACCAACC